TGGTGCATATAGCACATAATATGAAAATAAATCAAATTCTGGTGCTGTTTTTGAAATGACCCATTCAAGTACCCAGTGTCGAGTAGTAGTGCATGCAGAAAGCAACTACCTTTTCTCTCAGTGAAAAAGTCTGTTGCTAAAAATTGACCTAAGCGGTTTTTCAAATGTTTGACTGATTCAGTTGTGTGTTTTATTTTAATCTGCAAGGTCATGTTATTAATGCTAAAACATTTTGTAGGCAATCCTTCCCCATTCAACAGAGGAAACATCTCCAATATCAAAAACCAGTAATCACAAATCCTTACAAACAACCTGGTACACAACCTCAACGCCACAAGATTTTTTATCCACCAAGCGAGAGCAGTTCCTCATATCAAAGCTATCCTGAGAAACCAGTCCAAAAACCAGTTGATGAACCAGTCGAGAGACCCAATCAGCAACCAGTTCTGAATACAAGTACACCTGAAAATCGTGAACGAAATCCCTCTAAGTTGAATTTAGCGACAAATAAATTGCCCGAGAAGAGCCCAGATATTTACAAGAGGATTGTTGATAGTCATATGCCAAAATCTAGCTCAAGTGTTGAAGAAAAGAGGTGGGTAAAAGGTTTCATCTTATCAAAGGTGTGCGGTCTACTGACTGTTGTTTGAATGTTGGGAAATAATTTAAAACATTTTTCTTTTGATATTGTTGTATGGTTTTTTTTATTCCAGTGATTCGCAAAATTCCCCTGGCTGTGGCAGAACTAAAAAACTTTTATTCGATAGAATACCGGCTGAGGTAGGCGATATTCAAAGCAATGTCCCTCTACCAATAAGAGAAAATCTAAAGTTTTTGATAGGACAACATGAAAATGGGATATGGTGTGCAGATCTTCCCAAACTCTATAGGTAAAGACGCCACTTATTCATGCATTTAAAAAAATGATTTGTTTCTAAATATCACTTCTAGAAAAATGTAGTGCTTGTCTATAAGTATTCTGAGAATATGTGGCAGTTTTATGAATAATAAAGATCTTGAACCTGATTATAGGAATTCCAAGAAACAGAAATGAAAATTAAATCGTCAAGTGTTGATAATAAATTTTAATGAATTTGTTTCAGTCATGTTATTAGTAATATTAATCTTATATTTTCCTTTTATTTCAAGTCAATTAATAGCTTAATGTTGCTAATATTCCACTTAATTTCCTTCTCTTCTACTGTAGCAGACCATGCTTCTTCCAAAAACAAAATAGTGAAATCTTCCAGCCCTAAAAACGCCAAAACTTCGTGCTACTTCTTTAAAATGTTTCACCTAGCTACTCATCTTTTGGAGGAAGAGTGGTAATTTTAAATGAGATTGGTAATTTGAAATATTACTTCAATTAATGTAATGTTTACGACAACAAGCCTGTTCCAACAGAATAGTTCAGAACTAGTTCTGAACTGTAGTTACCTCACACATGTGCAGAAAAATAATTCAGAATTAGTTCAGAACTAGTTCGGAACTGCTTGTTGGAACAAACCTTCAGTTATCTTGATATTTTTTTTTTCAGGTCAATGTTTTGCAAGGATATAAACTATGAAGATTTTGGTTATGCAAGCTTGAGCCAACTTTGCATATCGTTACCCTCAATATTCCACTATTGTCGTCCTTCTGATTCTGATTTCAGATTGTATGATAGAAACAAACCCTTGCCACCAAGTGCAGAGACAAAATTCACTGTTGCCAGTTATACTGTTGGAAGTAAAAATCTAAATGAAGGTGAAATCTGTGCTTTGCCAAATATTGAGGTAAGGAGCATAATATAATAGGATCTAGAAGCTTATTTATTAAGGCTGTGTTAAAGTTTCAAGGTTCAGGTATTTTTTTACTTTTCATCCCAGCTACAAGGCTTTTAACATATTGTGTGTAACTTAGATCAGAATGTAACTGGCATGTGTCTTAAGTTGTCATGGGGCGCAATTTGAAGTATAATTGTGAAATTTTAGTATACCTGGTGGCACTCGCAATGTCAAGACAAATCTAGAAACACCTCATGACTGTAGCCCGTGTAATAGGCATTTCAGCGTTTATTTTTGACTAAAATCCACCATTTTGTTTTTATAAAATTTTAATATAGCCAGTGTGTAAAATAGAATAGTTTGCTTTCTGACTACTGTAACTATGACCCACCGCAGCTCATGCTGTTTTGTCCTTATTCGCAACTCATCAGGATCTTTTACCTGGTATTCCGACCACTTGACACGTTGCCCTGATGGTGCTGCGCACATCTCTGCGCTTAGCTTATGACGTCGAGCAGTATGTCCTAAAGTACGTAAGGGGCCATTCAAGTGTTACATAAGCAGATTTTTGGCAATTATTAACCCACTTCTCTCAGTAAGCAAGTCTCTTACATCCCCCTCCATAAACATTTTGGTACATTTTACAATTTGAAGCAAGTGGTAGCTTTCACGTGCATGTTCTGAATACTATTTAATGTCTGGAAAATCTGGTTTGCCGCTTCCAACATACTTTTCAGTAACATGATAACCATCAATTTCCATTGCACTCTCTGCTAATGCATTTCCGGTAAACTCGAAATTGTATCTTTCTAAATGTTCCTTAATTGCCACGTTCATCCAGATGAGACCCAAAATGGTCATCAGGCATCAAACCAGCCAGTTCTCGACTAAAAGGAGCCATTATGCACTTTACTCAGTTATTCGCATTTCTACTACGAGTATTTATAGCCAAGGTTCTAAGTGAGTAAGCATATCCCTATCTGGTGAATCCCTGAAGATGCATTATGCTTTCGAGCATCGACAAGCAAGGTTGACGTACAGTAGCAGACAAAGTTTGGAAACATACTTAGTGATTTCTAAAAAGTGCGCTAATTTTGTATTCTTTATTATTAAAGACTATTTTTTTCTCATATAGTTCGCTTACAGTCGTGAGGATACAAATGGCAATGTTTGTTTGCTGTGGTACTTCAGACTAGCATTAAAATACCTTCATATTATTTTATGACCAAAAATGAAACGACAAAAGTATGGAAACATATTTTTTATTACAAAATTAAATACAATAACTCTATAAAAAGACTTAAAAAATACTGTTTAGCTATTATTTGGTAGCATAGACTTTAGCATTCAACACTGCCTGACATCTGCTGCTCTTAGAAGGCACCAATTTTTTACAGATGTCTCTTGGTATATTCTGCCAAATATTATTTACATAATCAAATGATTCCTATTTTTAAAAGTTTTTCTTGCCAGTTCAACATGCCCCCATAGATGTTCTATAGGGTTAAGGTCCGGGAATTGCGAGGGCCATGTAAGAACAATAACATTTTTTAGTCTTAATCAGTCCTTTACGAATTTTGAGGTATGCTTGGGGTCGTTATCTTGCCGGAAAAGGGAGCATGTGTTATGTTTGTAAAGTTTTTGATCCATTTTCTCAACAATTTTAAAAATTGGACCCGTTCCAGAAGTAGAAAAACAGCCCCATACCACCTGGGCCGCGTTGCTGTTGATCCGTATTCTTGATATTTACTAATAATTTTCGAAATCGTCCCTTTGTTCATTTTTAATCTTTGAGAAATGTCAACATTTCTGACACCACTCCTAAATAATTCAAGTACATTGTCTCTTAAATCTTTTGAAAATTCTTTTACTTTTGCCATTCTCACTGATGTTAAGTATCGCAGAACGAATAAATACGCCAAAACTGAAATATTTCATTACTTTTTTCTACTGTGGTATTTAAAAAAACGCGTGTTTTTATTTTCAGAGAATTTTGATAAGACAAACCTTGTATAAGTGCGGGGGCCAAGGGTAGTCATTAATATTTATATTCTGTTCCTTCACAATTTGAATTCAGGTATACGAAATAGTTCATAATAATGTTAATATGACTATATTTTGTAGAGAAACCAAAAACATAAATAATTATTACTGAGATAATCAGAATCTATGTCTATGTCATCAAAAATAAGCAAAGTCAAGAACCCCGCCCCCACTAGCGCTTACGTAATACTTGAATGCTCCCTAAGGGTATCTCTATTACCTTCTTGGTACGTGGATGATGATGATGATGAAAATCAGCTTGATGAAACCTTTGGTAGGTGGCTATAGTCAGATTTTCATCTACCCTGTTTCTGAAGCAGTTTGGTGAGAAACAAAATAGAAGTGTGTGATCGAATTTGAGATAATTCGCTTGATTACCGTCCAGACCGTCGGACTGTATACATCGCACCGATTAGCGGGTCGATGCTAGAGTCATGGCACCTGATGTGGAAGTATGCATAGTATGTAGTGATAACTTTATA